ATTCAAACCATACCCAACCATATCCATCCCACGTGCCCAAAATGGTTTATTAGCTTTTCCAGCAGGAATATATTCCTCTATTCCCAAACCAACCTCCATCTTTTCCCCTAATTCCGATTCTACCCCTCCTCCTTCATTTTCATTTATCCCTTTTCCCTTCTCACTACTCATCAGCTCCAGCAACTTCCTCAGCAACGCCAACGCCGCCGCCCTGTCACACGTTGACGTGTGAATCCGTAAAGTAACTGCCCATTTCTCATCGCTTAATCTATAGATGCTCGGGAATAGAACATCAGTGTCGGAGTGATCAGACGACGTGGCGGTATTTACCCAGGAGTTTTTGTTGAGTTCGTGCTCGAGGATTAGGTGAAAATCGGAGATTGAGGTATGATTAGGGATTTTGAGCTGTTGAAGAATTTGAGCCGTTGATGAGAGATCAAACGGCTGGATTTGAAGGTGAGAAGTGGAGGGAATGATGTAAGAGTAGGAGTTAGTTGTGGGTTCGTAGTGGAGTTTGGATTTGAGGATAGGATTGGAATTTTGAAGTTTGTGGAGGGCATTTTGGAGAAGTGAAATGTCATGGGATTTTGATAAGAGAGCTAAGACTGTTATCCCGGTGCCACTGGGAACCGCCTTGCACCAGCTGTACTCGGTGTTACCTGCCGGCCGGGTTTCAAACTCACACGGCGGAGCTGCGGTGGTGCTACTTTCTTGCTCAGCCATGAGAAGATGGGAGTATGGTGTGTGATAATTATTATTGAGTGATAGTTAAGAAGGTACATGGAAATGGACAATATATTGAGTAACAACAGAAAATTTTATTTTGTGTCTCATACAACTGACACTAATTGTATAAGACAATTTTTTTGTCTCACAGTTTTGTGGACCCAGATTTTTGTGAACCCAGAAGTGTAACAAAAAAAGAGCCTCATACAACTAGTATAAGTTGTATTAGACACAAAATAAAATTTCTCGAGTAACAACTGAAAAGTACTATAAAGTGGACAAATAAAGCATCACTGCTCTTATTATCTTTATATTAGTTTTTATTAATAAATCTAACTTGTTGTTTATTCCTTTATATTTAATTGGAGGCCTCATGTTCGAGTTCTTAATTTTTAAGGGGCTGTCGATATATTTGACCATTTAAAAACCCAATACAACTTTATAAATGCAATATAACCCCATCATGGTACTCTTTTGCCTTTCAATACATTCTCTTGTACACCAGGAATGTGGATTTTCAAGAAATAATCCCTCCAATATATTTTTCCCATATCAATCTCAAAGCTCTTTGTCTCTTCTTCTGACATATCTTCCATTAGTTTTTGCATGTTTCCATTGTGAAACCTTGCAAAAGTGAAAAACAAAATAAGC